CAGAAATCAGTTTAAATTTTAACCTCCTTTCCTTCCTGTAAAGCAAGTGACAGTTCTGTGGGGCTTTTTTTAACCTTGAATGTATTTCATAATAACGCTGAGCAAGGAACTGGGTATTTTGTATTAATTAGTGGTTGTTGGCAATAAACTTGCCTGTTGCAGGGAGGCACGAATTCCTCTGGTAAAATCTTAGCAACAGAGGAGCTGATGAAAAAAATCCTGCTCACTTACATTTGCCCAAGATTTCACTCTTGATCTGTAGATGGAATGCAAAAAACGTTGCCTCTGAAGGCACATTTGTGGTTGTTGGTTACAGCACGCTGCCTTGCTTTCCTGCCAAGGCACAGCATCTTCTATAACACGTGGGAGGTGTAGAGCTGGGGAGAGCCTTCTCTAAACTCATGGAGGTTTTTGTTCATGTTGGAAAAATAAGTTGTTTTGGAGCTTGATAATTAGCAGGGTGGCTTTGAAATGGGAAGGAAATGGCTTTATCATCTGTGAAACATTTCAAAGTACTAAAAGAAACCAACCACGTATCTGCTTTGGAGGGAAGCCAAGAGATTTTCAGTGCTTTCTATGGAAAAAAGAAAGAGTGAACACCCACCCCAAAAGAGCCAACAATGAATGGTCAGGGAACACGTGTGGGCTGAAGCAGCCAGGCTTTGGCTGTGAACTGAGAAACGCATCTGATGAACAGACCAGTGTACACCCCCACCACCTCCTATGCAGTAAAAACCCTCTGTCAGGCAGTTCTCAGCTGGACCAACTGGTAGTCAACGTTTTGTTAACTACTGAGAAGTGAGTCCTATTTTAAAAGACCATGTGAATAACCCTGACAGGAGCCAGTGCAGCTGTAACTTGTAAATCGTTATCCAGACACAAACCAAGTTCTCCGTTCTCAGAGAGCTCTCTTCTGATGAGTTCATCATTGCTGATCTCCGAAGCCCATTTATTTTTCTGTGTTCCAGTTTGTGCCCTCTAAGGTTCTCCATGAAAGAATGATATTAGATGTAGCTATTGATCTAGTCCTTGAATGACTATTAAAATTTCTTCTTAGTTTGGCCATTTGTCTCTTGTAGAATATCAGAGGGTGGAAGCAGGCTCTCTTTAATTATTTATTGATTTGCTTTTTGACTTTCTTTTCCGTGCTAAGAATGTGGTCTTTAATGAATAAGATTAAAATGATTTCTGCTTGTTTTTTCTGTGTGACAGAATTTCAGATGCCAGATTAGTTTATTTGCTTTGACACTCCTACAGCATCCTTTTTATTTTGACTTATTAAAAGCTTATAAAACATTCATCATGCAGGCAAAATAGACTCAGGTGACAATTACTGAATGAAATTCAAGATTTGTGCCTTACTGCCAAAGCTGCAACAAGGATATTTGTAAGAGCTTTTGTAGCTCCAGGAGGAGGATTGTAGAGGACAGCTCTTTTCAGGCCCAGTGGATGTAGATACTGCACAGGGCAAGCCCATCTGTGTAAGCAGTTAAAGCTTTATAACCTCAGTTGAAGACTATGGCATAAAGTCCTACAGCATTTAAGAGTTGCCTATGTCCATGCTGTTTTGTTGCAGGTTAGTGTCCATTTTCCACCCTGCTTTCAGTAATAAAATGTCTGTCTTTATGAAGCTGCAAAGAGTGATCCTGGCTTTTAGAACTTATAAATAATGTAATTCTCTTGCATGAAAATATCCATCTTTTGCAAGGGAATCTTCATAAACTTTCAGCTTTTCACAGCCTTGTAGTTGTAAATTTTCTCTTTGTTAAAACTCACAAGGATAAATTTCAGAAATATTTGTAGTTCATTTTTCAGTGCAGCAGTTTGTTTTCTTAGCAGTGCAGTTTATAAATGACAGTGAGTGGACTTATGCCAAAAACTCAGTTAAACTGTCAATTACTTCTAATCAATCTAAATTTTGTTTTGCAGAAGTTATCTTTTTGTTACAGAAACTTGGGGCAAGAATTATTTCATTTTTGTTCCTTATAGTGCAAAAAGCATATTGTCACAGCTTTTGGCTAGATTTCACCAGACTTACATTAACACTGACCCACCCCTTTCTTTGCATGCAGCCCTATCAAAATCAACAATTTCCGTCTAGGGACTGGTGAATCTGGTGCTTAACAAATAATAATTATTGTAGATGTTAATAAGAAAAAAGGTGTAAGCTAGCAGAAGAGGGTTACAAGGAGAGAAGTGTTTACAACTTTCAGATGTTGATTGTTAACATATTTTAATTGAAGAAAATGAAAATGCAGCTTAATGAAAGTATGTAGTCTGCAGTTCCAGAAGCCTTTTTTTTTTAAAACAAATCTATAAGCTTACTCTGCTGACTGTAATCTCAAAACTCTTCCTCTTAAGTCTACTTTGCAGTAATTTCTTTTCACTGTGTACAATGAATGTAATGATCTTTTCTTATGGGCTGATTTGATTTGAAGGGTAAGAAAGGGTAGATTGTTCTTTTAATTAACATTCAGAACAGGCAAAAAAAGGTGGATGAAATTTGCATCTATTCTCTGGCTGGATAAAAAGTAATAAGTGGAGTCATTCCCCTGTTTAGTGCTCAAGGGCAATACACAGAAATCCTTTCATTGATTCAATTTACCAGGAGATTTAAAGGCAAGAGAATAATTTGAAACTCTATAGGAATGTGTAATATCAGGTTTATGTTGCATTTTCCTGCAGTGAAAGCATGAATTCAGAGATGAAGTAACCCTTAGTATTTTCTTCGAGTTTTGAAATTTTATATTCTTCAAGGTTTAAGGTAGACTTCTAGCTTAACATAGTGAACTACTACATTAAAGAAAAACATCCAGTAGTGGCCTTGATATGTATGATGGCTCCAAATAGAAAAATGTGTTTATAAAATACAGTTATTTTGATATGTGACTGAAAATACAGGAATTATTTGGTTTACGAGAAGCTCAACATGAGCTGACGATGTGCACTTGCAGCACAGAAAGGCAATCATGTCCCGGGCTGTGTCACAAGAAGTTTGAACAGCAGATCAAGGAAGGTGTTTCTCCCTCTCTACTCTGCTCTCATGAGACCTCACTTGGAGTACTGCATCCAGCTTTAGAGCCCTCAACATAAGAAGGACATGGACCTGTTGGAGAGGGTCCAGAGGAGGGCCATGAAGATGATCAGAGGGCTGGAGCGCCTCTCCTATGAAGAGAGGTTGAGAGAGTTAGGGTTGTTCAACCTGGAGAAGGCTCCAGGGAGATCTTATAGCATCCTTCCAGTACTTAATGGGGGCCTACGGGAAAGCTGGGACTCTTTATCAGGGAGTGTAACGATAGGATGACTGATAATGATTTTAAACTGGAAGGGGATAGATTTATACTAGATATTAGGAAAGAAATTCTGTGAGAGTCCCACTGTGAGAGTGGTGGGACACTGGCACAGGTTGCCCAGGGAAGTTGTGGATGCCCCCTCCCTGGAAGTGTTCAAGGCCAAGTTGGACAGGGCTTTGGGCAACCTGGTCTGGTGGGAGATGTCCCTGCCCATGGCAGGGGCGTTGGACTGGATGATCTTTAAGGTCCCTTCCAACCCCAACCGTTCTGTGATGATTTAAGAAGAATTGTCTTGTGCATGTTTGTTTTTCGTGTTTATTCTGGATTATGCTATTCTGTTAGCTTTGTGTTTGTTTTGTTGTGTTGTGTCCCTGTAGCAGATTTAGGGAGCAAAGGTACTAGCGGTGTCTCAGCCAGCAGCTGCGCTGTGTCCAGCACGGATGTGACCTGGCAGCCAGACACAGTGGCAATGGCTCACGGCTCGTGTCTGTGCACCCAATCTGTCTGCAGAGTGGGTAGCCAGCATTATATTTAGATCATGTTCTTGCCAATGCAGAGTTGAAATCCTTGTGCTCCAGGGAAGTTTGCTGCCTGTAGAGTAGCTTCCAAAGTTGTGGTAAGGGTGAAGGATCAGTAGTTCGGATGTTGCACTGCCTGAGTTAAATAATCTGCAGGGATTTCCTGGAAAATTAATCCCGCCTGGTTCCTGTCGGCCAAAGAGAATTGTGCTGACTCTATACCAGTCAGTGTAGGGTTTTTCCACAAGAGCTGTATAACCGTCCTCTTCCTGACATCATGTCTGGGGAGTCAGAGTGCATTAGTGGGGCTTTGTAAGCTTTGTGAATTTAAATAGGCAGCTTATCCTACCAATCAGGATATCTTCCTGAGTTAGTGTTATTTTATAAACATATGCACTTACTGATGGTTAGGCAAAACTATTTTTGCTGCTGTTAAGACTTGTTGCTGATCTCAATGCAGATCCTTCTTTTACTTAACCATGATTGCAATAAAATTTCAAGTGGTTCGGTGAAATTGCCAGCTCATGTTAGAGTTAGGATGTGGACATATGATCTAGAACTGTCTTGTGATTGATTAAACAGATTCTGAGTTTTAAACCACCATAGTGAAGGTTGCAAATAAATTTTTTTTCCTTCTTGACGTGACTAAAAGCAACCTTCGGGAAGGATGTTTAAACTAAGGTGCCAAGCACACAGTCCTAGTGCATGCTTATTAAAGCAACACCTAATGCTCTCCATCATACTAGATAACAAACTTGAATCTTGATTGTAACTATAAAAGGCCATGATAAGGTGAGCTAAAAGGAAATGCCTGTGGTAACGCCTGCACGTTCAAAGCTAATATGTGATAACATACTACTACCTATAATTTCCTGGGATGCATTTCACAATTATCCATCTGCAGGGAAATTAAAAGTACCTGGAGCACCAAAGTAAAATATCAATGACGTACGTATAAATAAACCACTCTGATTTTCTGAAGTAACGAAGATCCTAGCCTAACCGCACATCAGTGCATTAGTTGTTTTTACTATCTAGAGAGAGCATCACCAGTTTTGATAAGCTTAATTTTCATAGTGTTAAGAAATAGCAATATATATTAATATTATTATCTTTGTCATGCTTTCCTCCTTCAACTGAGAATTGCATCTTTTTATTATATATAACCTTATGTTTTTATTCATTTTAGACAAGCTCTATATGGGACCAGGGCAACTGTACCATGATCTGCAGAACCTTTTGCATGACTTGAATGTAGTTGGTCAAATTAGTCAATTAATAGGCAGCCTTAAAGGAAACTATCAGGTAATAAAGCTGAATGTATTTTTTCAAATATATTCCTGTTGTAAAGTAACATAATTGCTTCTCTCTAGGATCTGTGCAATCTATTCTTTAGTTCTCTCTACAGAGAGTAATAATTTTTACCTCTAGTAATTAATTTACTGTCAGCTGTTTAGCGTAATAAGTAGATTACAGTTGTCTTTCTAATCTTGTTTTTCTTTATTGCTTTTACATGTAGGTGGGTACTACAAGTGTCTGCATTTGCTCAGTAGCTGATAAGCTTATATAGAAAAAAGAATTACATTTTGATCTTAAGAAATTGGGTTCTTACAGTTAGACAAGGCAGTAGGAGGATGATTGTTTGGAGGAAGCTCTTGATGCCCATCTGAGCTCATAATCCTGGTTTTTGGAGGGAGCTCTACTTAAAACTGAGTGCTAATCACAAAAATATAAAAGGATTTTCAGAGAAATTTTTGAAGTAATTTGCTTTCCCTTTGTTCACATCCCTTCTATTTAGTTTATATTCTGGGAAACATATAGTACTTTAACACTGAATTTCAGAATGAGTTCTCCACAATCTTAAGACTTAAAAGGCAAATAAAGTGATCTTTTCATTTTATATATTTTTTTTATCTTAGGCACAATTTTTAACTCCTCTCTGCCACCATAGGCTGTAAATATGTGTGTGTGAGAATATGTATATGAAAGCTGAGTTCCTCTTGGGCTGTCGTACCTTTAGAGACAAGGGCATTAAAGAAAACAATGTTTTGCAAAAATATGTACTTTAAAAAAAAAAAAGAGTGCTTTTGGACAAAATTTTGCAAGTGTTTGAAAGTGAATTTCAGCTGCATAATTGGGAATATGTATAGCACAGATACCATAAGACATTCACCCATCAGCACATACTAAACCTTTCTGCCTGTACTGCCAGTCAGACCCAACTACATTTTGAAAACTTGAAATTCAGTGAATGTTTCCGGGTAGAGATGTGTGAGATAATGAGAACAGTTTAGTTGAGGAATGAGCTCAGCTTCTCTGTTTTTGAAAAAGACTTGAGTTTTCATAAGATTCTGACTGTGGAAAGTTAGTGTACTTTTGTGTATGAATACTCACTACTGTTGATGCTGCAAGAGTCAATCGGGTGTGCTTTAACCCTCTGTTATCAAACAGTCAGTTTGCAGAGAGTTAGTGGTTAAGCATCCTTCTTAAACAGATTCCAGCCATGCAGACAGCTTTCCTGATGGCTCTGTAAACATTTTGGCTCAAAGATTTGAACAGGAACATACTGGCAGTGTGATTTGTAGATGTTTTAATGAGATTTTCTTTAGAAACAGCATCTGTGGATTCTGTATAACTACTCAGTGAAATTAAGTAAAATGATTGTGTGTACACCTGATGCAAATTACATTCCTTAATCTGACAAATGCTTGGGAATTTCATTTATGTATCATCAAACTCTGAGCAATGTGAAATTAAATCATCAGATAAAATATGCTAGCAAACTTCTCACAGCTATTTTTGAACTATGTTTACAGATATGGCTAAATTATCCGTGATTAAAATGTGGACTGAATGAGGTCTAGGAGCCAGGAATTGTTTGTTTTATCCAGAGATCACCTTAGCCTCTTGGAAACAGCCCAGTAGGCTGATGTTGAATCTTAGCTTTTTTAATTTTTCAGAACTTAAACCAATCTGTAGCCCATGACTGGACCTCAGGTTTACAAAAACTGATTTTGAAAAAAGAAGATGAAATCAGAGCGGCAGATCGCTGTAGAATTCAGCTGCAACTCCCAGGAAAACAGGACAAGTCAGTAGTAATCTTGATTACAAAACTTTCTAAATGGGCTTACATATTAGGCAAATATGTACCAGGGAGGATTTGGGAATCTGTAGCTCTTCCCCCTCTTCTGTCTTCTCAGTTACCCTCTGACTTCTGCTCTCATGCCACAGTGCTGGGAACTTGTATGTTCCAGGGCAGTGTTGTAGTTTTGCTCCCCACATTCCGGATGGAAGCAGCAAGAGAGGAACTGTGGCAGTGACAGCTGATGGGGAGCAGCCACTGCTAAATCACTTCATCATGGAGGGTGTTCTTCTCATACCATTTTATGTGAAGTGTAAGAAGATGGGTGTATGGCATATCATAGCCTGCATGCTTATGTCAGAGCTATGTCTTTGTCTAAGTATTAGAAAATAGTGACATTTCATCTTGCTCAACATCTCTATCCTTGACTGTGTCTCATACTCAATGCATTTAGAGTGGCTTTTTTTTGTCTTGCAGGTCTGGGCGGCCAACTTTCTTTACAGCTGTGTTCAATACATTTACCCCTGCCATCAAACAGTCTTGGATCAACAATTTACAAATGGCTAAACTGGCCCTTGGTAATTCTTAGTTACTTAAATTTCCTATAACATTAAGATAGCTCTCCATGTACAGTGTTATTTTTTATTTTTATTTTTTAGAAATTTATTTTTTTGTGAAAATCTATCTGCAGATGTTAAAATTACAGTAAATAGCAGTGATTGTGTATCACTACAAAGTAATGACATTATGGAGTTTTCATTGTTGAGGAATATAATTTCTACAGTGTTTTAATAAAGTCTCTGATAATCATTCTTAACTCATACCTAAATCAACAAGAATAAGATACACTGCAGAACAGACAGGAAGTCCATTATAAACTTATTTCTTCATATCTTATGAACTTCTTAAACTTTGAACTTCAGGCTCAGATTCTCAGCTTTAGCTCAGAATGATTTTAGCTAGAAGATTAGTAAAGCTATGGGTTCATTTGTTTAGCTTTCTGAGCATGAAAAATCTAAGAATCATAGAATGGTTTCAGTTGGAAAAGACCTTCAAGATCATTGAGTCCAAACAACTTATGAGTGTAGTTTTAGTATAATGCAGTATTTCTAATGTTGGATATGTATAAATCAATTTTGAGGGGTGAGGTTCTTTTAACATAGATCTGCAGTCTTCACTGGAGGGATTATCACAAACAAACCTCATCTAAGTGGGAGCAATAAAGAATGTGCGATGTTATTAGTCTTCTGTCTTTGCACAGAGGGTATAGGTTTCCAAAGATACCAGGGATTTTGAATGCCTAAATTGAGAAACACTGAGGATCTGTACTTGCTAGAAAACAAGTTTCACCAGCACATCCTCAAAATGGAGTGCTTTTATGATATCTCACTGAAGGTAGGCAAAATAATAAAAACAAAAGAAGAAAGAATGGATGTCTCCATCATTCTGGGAGGAGGGTCCTTAAAATTATGATCATAGAATCACAGAATGGTTTAGGTTGGAAAGGACCTTGAAGGATCATCCAGTCCAACCCCTCTGCCATGGGTAGGAACCCCTCCCACCAGACCAGGTTGCCCAAAGCCCTGTCCAACCTGGCCTTGAACACTTCCAGGGAGGGAGCATCCACAACTTCCCTGGGCAACCTGTGCCAGTGTCTCACCACCCTCACAGTAAAGAATTTCTTTCTGATATCTAGTCTAAACCTACTCTCTTCCAGTTTAAAACCATTCAGACTCTGTCACTACCTTCCCTTGTAAAAAGTCCCTCCCCAGCTTTCCTGTAGGACACCTTCAGGAACTGGAAGGCTGCAATAAAGTCCCCCCAGAGCCTTCTCTTCTCCAGGCTGACAGCCCCAACTCTCTCAGTCTATCTTTGTAGGGGGGGTGCTCCAGCCCTCTGATCATCTTCGTGGCCCTCCTCTGAATCCGCTCCCACAGCTCAATGATGATTAGTAGTTGGTAGTGATATCACTTATACAGGCAGAGAAATGCTATTGGCAAAACAGATTTCCTTGAGCCTGAGGAGAGGTTTGATATGCCTTTTCCTTTTTTAATAATCTACTGACAAGGTTATTAAGACAACATCCTTATTTTGCTAGTGTATGGTATTCTTTCTTAACATTATCATTATGTATGTAATCTACTATATTGAATTTTTTGCTCATAGTTTTAAGTTATCATTTTAGAATACATGGCATAAGAACAGCGTGATCAATATTAACCAATTGTAACAGAATTATTTTATTTTCCTGTAGAGAGGTGGAAGTGATTATTCAGTGGAAGTATCATGGGATGTTTGTTGTTTGTTCTTTCCATTACAGTGGAGGATAACCTGTTAGGTTGGTTCTGTGTCGAAGACGATGGAAATCAAATTAAAAAGGAGAAACATCCTCTTCTTGTTAGACACGTGCCAGTGATGATGGCCAAGCAACAGGAGTTTAAGGTGAACAGAATCGTTATATGAAATTACAATTGCTTTTCTTGTATGATGTAACTGCTGAAGAATACCATATTGTAAATTCGTCTGTTAGTTCACATCTATTAGTTCTTTTGAGTTACTACCTTGGTGTAAGACCAATAGCAATGGAAGGTCCAAGAGGGTCACAGGAAGGTAAAAACAACTGCAATCTTTGAGGCACTGAGGAACATAGTGCTTAATTTTATAGAGTATGACATTTACTTTCAGGTATTAGTTCATCACGTAATGAAAACAGAACTGCTGGGAGTTTTTAATTGGTCTTGAGGTTTCCAAGTGTTTGTTTGAGTCTCCAAAGTATTCTTCAGCTTACGAAGTGCAGGAGTTTGATCTCCATGATAGCTATCTTGTACTGGTGTAGCTATGTTGAATCTTCCTCAAATTTCCGATTTTCATTAGCACACAGAGAACACTAGTTTTAAAATAATGTTTAAAACTCAGTGTTAAAGACTTTTATATAAAATGTAGTTCTGTTCTGAACAGTGATACAGAAATTGTATAATGGCTCATTTCCTAAAATAATGTATTTGAAGTCATATTGGCCACTGGCTTTAATGATGAAAATAAGTACAGCATATCCAGACCAACAGATGCAAGGGAAGTGTGCTGGATACGATTTTTTCCTAGGTATCAGCAGGATTTCTTGCTGACTATCAGTCAGTTAAACATACGCAAAAACACTAGTGGAAATAAAATTGTGTGTGACCCAAATCCCAATGTTAAATTAACATCATCGCATAGGTACTGCTTAAAGCAGTAAGCATGCAGATCTTTGTTGCTAGGATAGTCTACATAGGAGGGAAGCTCAGCTGACAGCTTCCGTTCAAGTGTGAGTATATAGGCCTGGATGTTGGGGGAAGATAATTGCTAGCTGGAAATGCATTTGAAATGTGTAACAGTGTTAAATCAAGCCAGTCCTCTGATAGTGGTTTTCAGAGCAAAGCTGCGGTTTACAGCAGCCAAAGTCTACTGAAAGTCTTTGATCTTACATACAACCACAGGTATCCTTATTAAACACTCAGCTTTGCCTGCATTGGATACTTTCTAAAGTCACTACTTAGTGAAATCACCAAGCTAATTTAATTTTTTGCAGAAACTTAAAATATTTGTTTCCTTAGAGCCTATGCATTTCTAAGTCCTGTAGATCCATACCTGGGCTTTGAAGACCCAGGCTCAAGTCCTGTGACCAAATGACAACAGAATCTGTTTGTTTTGAAAGGAAAGTCAAGTCTGTTGCCTGTACGCTTGAGTGATGGCCTTTGCCTTGGTCACCTCAGCACAAGACAGCATGTGGCAGTGTTTACCTGAGCCTCCAGGTCAACTTTCTCAGTTTTTGTGTGGGTGTGAGCCCAGCTGGCATGCCTGATGCTCCTAAGTCCTTAGTATTACTGGAAAAGATGATCTAAGACTTATTGGTGGTTTTCTGCAGCCTCAGCTGCTGTTTTGGTGTCACGCCACTGCGTGGGGTGCATGAAGAGACTCTTTGCTTGGCTGATGCTGCATGTTATCTCTCTGCGTGCTGCTCAAGCTGCCCAGTAAAAAAACCTGTAACTACTTCTTCCATCAGAGCAAGTTCACACCCCAGGCAAAGGGCTTCTGTCAAGGTTGAGAGCCAAACTACCAGGGTTTAACTCTGTAAAAACATCACTGGTTCTGACTAAGACGCAAAGTAACAGAGAGATGTAACAAGCACCCTCAGAAATAGCCAGCGTGTAGGCTGTCTTTTCTTTCACTAGTGATGGATTTAGCTGTCACAACTACTGTAAATCACCACTACAAGTAGATAGTTTTAGTATGTGTTAAATAAGACATGCTAAGACTGGCATGGATGGGTTTTTTTTTCCTTTTCTTTTCTTCTTCACATCTCTTGGTTTCCATCTTTTACTGTTACAGTGACTTACCTCCTCATATTTATTTTTTTTTTATTATTCACTGTTGGGAGGTGACATTGACAGTTTATGGTGGAGTTGTCTGTATTAATGTTAACCAAATTATCTCTCATGCTGCAACATAGTTGCAATGACATTGATGTCTGGGACAAGAACACTAGTATGAAGAATCTTGTCTAAAAATGTAGTATCACATCTCATCAGGAACCTTTTTATTCTTTTCATGGCTATGAATTTCTTGTATATATTTTAACGTATTTACATAAACTTTAGGAACCTCTGCCATGGACATTAGGGAAATAAGGGAAAACATAAATCCATGATTGCGCATAAAAATGCCTGTTTTCAGAGCATTGGTGTTTGAATTATTTTCAGAGCTGGGATGGGCTCAAATATAGATCTTGAGCCTAGTGTAGCTTTCCAGTTTTTCTTAAATGGTCTGCATAATAAAATCATGAGTATGGTTATTAATTTACTGACAATAACATGATTACATGAAGTTGGGAGAGAGTAGCAGTATTATGGATGATAGCATTACCATTCAAAGTGAGTAAAGTACCTGCATAAACTATCTTGGGGGGGAGGGTGGCAGTCAGTAGGACAGACACATGGTATGCTCAGGCAGAAATAAAGAGCTTCACAACCACAGACTGAAGTGGTGGTTGATCCGAAAGTCTATAAAAGTACCTTCTAATAGACCGGCAAGCCAAGAATTGATTAAGAATGTAATATTGGTATGAACAGGAAATAAAAGGTACAAAAAGGCTTCAGAAGAGGTAGTCATGGTGTAGTGCTGCTAACAGCTCTGCTAGAACAACATGTTCAGTTGAGAAAGTTCTGCATTCTCAAATATATGGAGCTGATATATCTGCTGGAGAGATGCCAGTTGGAAAAGTGATAATAAACAAAAATTAAAAAAAAACCCCAAAACATTTAGAATCATAGAATGGTTTGAGTTGGAAGGAACCTTAAAGATCATCCAGTCCAACCCCCCTGCCATGGACAGGGACACCTCCCACTAGACCAGGTTGCCCAAAGCCCTGTCCGACCTGGCCTTGAAAACTACCAGAGAGGACACATCCACAACTCCCCTGGGCAACCTGATCCAGGGTCTCACCACCCTCATAGTAAAGAGTTTTTTCCTATTATGTAATCTAAACCTACCCTCTTCCAGTTTAAAACCACTCAGCCTCTGTCACTACCTTCCCATGTAAAAAGTCCCTCCCCAGCTTTCCTGTAGGAACTGGAAGGTCACAATAAGGTCTCCCCGGAGCCTTCTCTTCTCCAGGCTGAACAGCCCCAACTCTCTCAGTTGGTCTTCACAGGGGAGGTGCTCCAGCCCTTGATCATCTTCATGGCCCTCCTCTGGACCTGCTCCCACAGCTCGATGCTCTCCTTATGTTGGGGGACCCAGAATTGGACGCAGTACTCCAGGTGGGGGTCTCATAAGAGCAGAGTATAGGGAATATTTAAAATGTAATTAAGTTATAAAGTTAATTTAGACTCTAAAGAGGAGATTCGGGCAGTGTCATGACATACATCAGCCTTACATGTAAAAATATACTGCAGAAGGGACTGAGATGTGGCTGAAATGAGACATGAAAGAGTAACAATTACTGCAAGACATTACAACATTAGTTTGGATATTTGGAAAAACTTAAAGGTCATGAAGCATTTGAGCAGATAAGCTGGAGAATTTTAGTCTTTGGCTTTTAAGAGTAGATAAGGAATAAAAAATGTGTCAAGAGCAACACAAGTACAGCTGCCCCTGCCCATGGGAAGCTGGATGGACTAAACTGACTTCTTGCTTTCTCTGGTTCTTTGATATCCTTAAATGCCTGAGTTAATTGCAGACTAAATTAGGCAGAAACAGATATACCTTTTTAATGTGGTAACTGCTCTCTTTTCATTTGTGTGAAGGTTGAATGTGCTGCTTATAATCCTGAACCATACCTGTCTGGTGAAACGGAGTCAGACTCCTGTGCCATGGAACATGGTTTTCTTTGGGTAAGCGTAATCTTTAAAAGCTAAGATGGAGGTTGTCTCCTTTTTCTTTGTATTGTTTTCTGTGACTCTCAGCGACATATGAATCTGAAATAAATTTAGAGTTGGATTTTTCTCCCCTTTTTTTTTTATGTGTTTGTTTTAGGACAGACTGAAGGGTAGCTAGTAATTTTGCCTGTGTTATCTCGCTGTTCTCTGTAGGGTGTCACTTGTGTGTGTGATTTATTAGTGCAACAGAGAACAAATTCCAAAATGCTGAGCACATTCAGAAGTGAATTATGTCCTAATTTATAATGAAAACTGCTAAAATCCATATGAGCTCACACTGTCCTATTGTCTGTTCCCATATTTTAAAACATACTTTAGACATAAATAATCTGTTTAAGCCTGTTCATAGGAAAAAAGCACTATTCTGGCATATTATTATGACCATAAATGTGCAGATATTCCAGCAGTCAAAGTAAGATAGCCAACACTTTTTTTTAAGAAAGAAAACCTAATTATTTCAGTAGCTTTTCTTGTTACTACGGTACTGGAATTTTAAGGGAACCCTTGTGAATTAAAAGTAGAAGTTAGAAATGGCATTTTTCAATCTTTTTTAAGGTGACCCATATAATTTCTTTTTGTCTTTGCTCTTTGTAAGCACTCAAATGTATGCCAATGAAGTCTTTCTATTTCAGCAAACTGTTCTTTCTTTCTCTTTGCTATATTTTTTTCATTTCACATAAACATAACGAGTTACTATGCAAAAACATTTATTGCTGCTTGGGCAGGCAGGTTTTTAACTCTTCTCAGATCCCTAAAATGTACAGATTTGTGGACATATTGATGATACTTCTGGATCAGAGAAGAGTTTAAAATTCTGTATCAGCAAGTTTACAAAAGGGTTTATATTAATAATCCCTCTTTCTGTTGGGACAGAGCATCTATTTGTAGGGCTTTTTCTGTATAAAGGGCAGACCTCTGATATTTTATCTATTTTAAGAGAATCTGAGACAACTTACAACACTGCTCATATATATGAGGGTTTTGTGTGTATATGTTTTGAAATCTATTGTAATTGTGATGAATTATTTTCTTGTTTATGTCTTAATGTATGAAAACTCATATTCACCCATATAATTTGAGATGCAGTCTTCAGATAACTGTCCAGTCATGCATTCTTGTTCATGCTGATCTTCCTGGAGGCAGGTATGAGTCTTGGTCTTCTGTCTTCTTTCCTCTTTCCAATTCAGATTGGCAGTTGTACTAATCAAATGGGCCAGATTGCAATAGTCTCATTTCAAAGCTCCGGCCCCAAGGTTATTGAGTGCTTCAATGTGGAATCACGGATTCTCTGCATGGTCTACATACCAGAGGAGGAGAAACTGAAAGAGCGAAATAAGGCTCTCGACTCTGAGAATGTTCTTGCAAAAGCTTCTAATGTGCCTACTATTTGCCTTGGCATGGAAGAAGGAAGGTGATTCTCATTTCTAGTGTTCTGTGAATGCTTTATTAATTCTGTTTAGTATTCTATACTAAAATTGTGTGATACTTCCAAGGAAAAGTTTACTTTTTAAAAAATTATCCATAAATACCCAATGATCTTCTCCTTTCTACCTAAATCAAGGCAAAAATACACTTCACGTGATTTTAAAATATACTATGTAATATTTGAAATTAAAATAGTATGTATCTTTGAAAGAGAATTAATTCATCATACGTCATGTCTGTAAAACAGAAATATTACTTTTGTAATGTTACAACATAATCTTTAGGTATTGGAAAATTTTCAGAATGATAAAGTGTTAAATGAGGAACCCATTAACCTTCCACACTTTGATATTGTGCAGGATTTGTCATGCGAATAAATAATATTGCTGTCTTCTATTGCCAGAAATTATTTTGCTCTGTTTGAACTGATGACCTTACTGAGTCATCAGTTGATTTATATTGAAGAACAAAGCTACACTTGCTAAACTTTTAGGTCAGTAAGCAGACAGATCTTGCAGTTACATACTTACACCTTCACTAGCTATAACATAATTTTTGAAGGGGCTTCTAACTGGTGTAAATGAAAGAAAAAATATTCTCCAAGGAAAATCACAGAATCACAGAACGTTAGG